GCATACACGATCAGTATCTACTTTTGGGATTTTCGATTTTCGGTCCCCGTCCCCCCCTATCGAAAACCCGTGGCGCCGCCCCTGCACATTCGCATTCCCTCCTCCACTGGGCGTCGCCATCTTGAAAAAAGCGCTCGGGACAAGCTTTTTCGATTCCCGTATTTCACGTGGAATTCCGCGGGATTTCACGTGAAATTCCGCGTGGAATCGGCAAAGAACGGCTTGACTTCCGATTCCACGTGAAATTTCACGTGAAATCTGCTCAAAGAACGCACCCTAACAGCTGATTGCGTTCCCTTCGGTAAGTGCCCGAGGGCACGCGCGGCGGCAGCGGGAGCCGCGTCTGCCGCGCATTCACTGGCGCCGCGTAAGCGTTCACCGGCGCCGCGTAAGAGAAAAACACTAGAAATGGCCCTCTTTTTCAAAGTCGCCTGTATTCGGCCCTCGTGTACGACTTTTGTGCGAAACGGACAATAATAGTTTTGGTCTCATTCGATAGCCTGATCAATTTTGTCTGTCGTAAATAGCTTCTAAAACTAAAAATAAATCCGCATAGCGGTCTAATACCCATTTCAAAACATGCCGCCCCGCGTCCCCCATAGACCGCGTCCCCCATAGCGGGAGTTTCCAGTCCCGATACTTACCGAACGCTAGGTGGCAGGTCGATCGCCCGGAACGCTGCCCGTAATGTTGAAGGAATAGGAGTTTCCTATCCAGGTTCTTTCATCCATGGCTAAACCATAGCTAAACGATGCAAAATGCAATATCATCTTCTACTGCACAGCATACCGATACCATAAGTAACACACAACATAATTTTAATGAATAAAATGACTGATGAAACTCCCTAAAAATGCCCTATACTTGCTAAATTTTACAATTTATAGTATAATTTTAATTATACCGCAAGGCTCGCGCTCTAATGCCATGTCACAGCAGCTGACGTTTCTTACCGGCATGAGACAAATAATGCAGTTCTGCGCCAAAAGTAAAGTGTTCAAAACTTATAGCTTGTAGCTCAAAAGCAGAAATGATTCATAAGTTGCCTAGCAATTTGCTACAGTTGACGGTTATCTTTTGTTTTGATAGCCAGTCACTAAGCAACTCACAATTCCTGACACCATTTTGAACAATATTTAGGCTGATTGGTATTGCTTTCCAGCCTGCCTGTGTCCTGCCAAACAGATTGTAGCAAAATAGATAGTTGTGGGCAAGGCTAAATAAACCGTTGTGGGTTTTCTAGAATTAATGAAGTAGTTATTTGCAAGGCCCTATGTTATTTGTTTCGGTGAACACTGCTCACCATTATAATTGGCATCACAGTGAACTGCACTACTAAGTTTGTGTGTGGACATCTTAGAGACAACTGACAAGTTTCTCAAGCGAGGCAGTCGGACTTGTATGCTGATTGCAATTGCTAATTGATACTGTAAATCTGGATACCTACCTATCTACTTATCTGTCATCATATCCTTGACAAGAACAATAAGTCAATATTCACTGCAAATATGCTGCAAATAAGTGACACACAAAGTAAGTAATTTATCCATTTCTATTTGTATTAATTCATGTGCTACCTACCTATTATTTTTTATTGTCAATGACAATGGCATTGCATTTAGTAGGTATGTATAGTTTGTTTATTGAAGTTTGCCCCTCACTTTAAACGTCTTTTTGAACACAGTACGAGAATTGCTAGCTGAGTTATTGAGAAAACTGGTTGGCGCACATTGATTTAACCAGATTTCACACTCAATCAAGCTCATCAAATTTATTTACTATTTCACGGACTCAGCTCATATTTGCCAATACCTACAGCCCCACAGGGATAGACGACTTCTCAGGAATTATGTCTGAACTAATTAATACATTGCACGCCGTTTAACCCTAGTCCTGGCAGGGCATTTTTCATAACACGGCCTGGCAGGGGGGGGGGGGGGTTGGTAGGTGGGCCCCCTGGAGTTCTGGCCCCTGTGCAAATTTGGTTGCTCTAGGTCAATATTTGGGGGGTTTTGGGGGTATAAATGTAAAAATTTTACTAAAAACAGGTCAAACGTTTTTCGCTTATAGCTTTTGATCTAATTAAGATAGAGAAAAAGAAAAGCACCAGTGAACTCAGCACTCCAAGGCGCATCAAATGATGTACTTTTTTGCTTGCTTAAGTGTACTTAAAGTTTTTTTGAATTTTAAAGTAAACCTTAATTAATTAATTAAGTTCAAGTTAACCAAATTGCATCATATCGTATATCATTCGATTCGGCTAATCACCAGGAACACAATGATACCATTTTTTAAGCTCTAGCTTCATTATATGCCAAGTTATTGGCAAAAACGTCATTTGACCTCAGTTGACCTCATTTGACCTGACCCATGGATAAGTACACCAAATAAAGAAGCACCAAGTGACCTGCTGTTAAGTACTGTGGTTTCAAAGCACAGAAGTCATAGAACGAAGCGGGTATCTCCAGTATTTTCCGAATTTAGTATTTTCCCATATTAACATTACGACGTAATGACCTCTAACTGACCTCAGGTCAGTGACATAAAAAACCTGAACTATATGTTATACAACTCGGTGAACTTAGCACATCCTGAAAGTTTGAAGGAAATCAGTCAAAAACTGTGAGTTGGACAGGTGCAAAAAGAAAATTGAAATTTGACCATGACCTTGTACCGGTTTTTCTGACCTGGTGACCTGACCCAAGGTCACCCAGACCTGAAATTTATAGGTCACTAGTAAAAAGGTTGCCCCATAGGCTTGCCAAATTTGGCGGCGCTGTGCGCCGCCTTTTTTACGCTATCTTCAAAAAACCTTAGGGGGGTTGCATCACCCACCCCCCTGCCAGGGCGAGGGTTAACATAACGTTACATCATCGGTGTTCAAAACTTATTTTGAAAATATTATCATATATCCAATACAATGTACTCTAACCAGTTTTCTCAGTAATTCAGCTAGCGATTCTCGTGCTGTGTTCAAAGCTACATTTACTGTGAGGGGCAAACTTAAAATAAATGAACTATACCTAATTACCCAAGACAACTAAGCAGACTTGTGCATGGATTTGAGATAGGTACCAAGCACAAATATTGAGAGTCGCTGAATTAATGGTAGGTGATTTCCTTTTCGCACCCCTTAAAAACCAAAGAAATTCACAAAACAAAAAGATAAAAAGAAAGCATAGATAGTTCTAAGGTTGAAAAGCGATACCACACATTGATACATATGATACTTTTTACACAAAACATTTATGAATTACACCCAACCATGCATTGTGTCAGGTAAAGTTATGGGTAGTCGTATAGCATGCGTCACACTTCTGTGTATATGGCTCAGGCTGGAGGTAGTGTGACAGGCTGTGACCTTGAGACTGGCGCTATATTACATCACAAATGTACAAATGTACATGTACACGATGAGTGTTTTCTATCGATGAAGGAGGGATTACCGGGCATGACGACTACAGTGGAACGTAGTGGGACTCAGCCGACTACAGCGGTTCATAGTGGGACTCGGCCGGTTCCAGCAGGACACAGTGGGATTCAGCCGGTCCCAGCGGGACACAATGTGACTTGGTCGGTCCCAGCGGGGCAAAGTGGAACTCAGCCGACTACTGCGGGGCATAATGGGACTCAGCCGACTACGGCGGGACAAAGTGGGATTCAGCCGACTGCAGCCGGACACAATGTGACTCGGCCGGTCCCAGCGGACAAAGTGGGACTCAGCCGACTACTGCGGGACATAATGGGACTCAGCCGACTACGGCGGGACAAAGTGGGATCAAGCCGACTGCAGCGGGACACAATGGGACTCGGCCGGTCCCAGCGGGACAAAGTGGGACTCAGCCGAATACTGCGGAACACTCAGCCGGTTCCAGCAGGACTGGTTCCAGTAATCGGCTGAGTCCCACTTTGTCCGCTGGGACCGGCCGAGTCCCACTATGTCCCGCTGTAGTCGGCTGAGTCCCACTATGTCCCGCTTTAGTCGGCCGAGACCCACTATGTCCCGCAGTAGTCGACTGAGTCCCATTTTAGTCGGGAAATCGGGACCCGCTAGAACTTCGTAAAGTGAGGTTGTTATGCGTTTTTTCGGGTTGCTGATCACGGGTTTTATGTTAGGTACTTTGAATCACAGATGATGTCTTTATGCTTTTAGGTCAAGTCAGGTCAGGTCAACCAGTAGGCGTCCTGCCGGCGATCCATAGTAGGTGTCAACCAGTGTCAACCACCACTGACTGTCTCGAAACATATTGCTCATAATACGAGATGAGCGGTGGGAGAGGCATGCTGCCTTTGCGATATTTTCCGCTGTGTTGCTGACTGTTGACCTGTCTGACCTGTCGTGACCGGTCAGACGGTGGCTGTCGCCGTGTTGCCGGGCGCCGTCGGTGTCCCCGGAGCTCCCGATATCGGCTCCGACCTCCGTATCAGTCGTGACGTCAGCCCGTACCGACCGGGGGCGCGGTCCGCGGCTGTCTGCTTGTCCCGTGATCCATGAAGGCGTCTTCAGGGAGCGGCAGCGGTGGCTCTTCTTCTAACCCTCGTGGAACCGGACGCTGGCAGTGTTCCACCGTGCAGAGCTCGGTTCATTGTAGGTCCCTTAGCGGAGGAGTGTCCGTAGGCATCGTAAGAGTCGCTGATAACCGAGCCTACCAAAGTTGAAGCTACCGTCGCTGTTTTCAATATCGACCCTGTAAATGGAATGCGCATGCCTTCAAAAAAGGGCGAAGAGGCCTTTTTACGAGCTTCACATGGGAATAGGCTGATTCCGGAGACATTCGATTAAATCCGTACTTACGCGGTTTGATCAGAAATTGGTTTATCCAAACGCAATGACCTTCTGTATAGTGCGGGATCATCGTTCAAGTGCTGATAACCGTTCAGTGCCAGAGTTTAAAGTTCTTGTTCCCGTCGCCCCGACCCGCGGTCGTCTCTCCCGGGCAAAGGACAAGATGCAGCGACTTGTCGCGCCGAATTCTCGCCCTACGGACCCCCCCCCCCCCGCAGCCCAGCGGAGGGACTCAGTCGCCGCCGGCCGGTCAGCGAGTGCGTCACGGCACAAGTGTGTCTGTCGTCTGCGGCGGCAGTGCGTGCTGCGCGGAGACTGGGCGGAGGCCGAACTGACCGTGACCCGCTCACGGCGCGGTGCGAACGGCCGCCCCGGCACGGGTGTGGCAACAGGCGCCTGCTGCGTGACCGCCCGCCCGCTGGACAGCCGCCGCGGGGGACGCGGCCGGGTGACGGTGGAGAGACCCAACGGCGAACCCGTGCTGTCAAGAATAAGTGCCAACGGAGGTTTTAGCCAAGATTGTGTGCCACAATCTTGGCTGTTGGTAGCCCGTGGTTATAGAGTGATCAAGAGCAGCTCGCTCGTAGCCAAGAACTGTGAAGTGTGGATCCGTTCAACGGGCTAACCGAGAGTTGTGGACGTTGAACCCGTGGTGACGGAGTGACCGATAGTTGTGAACTCGGCCGACCAAGTGGCAATTACCCGTCAGCCTCAACTTACGGGCTGTCGAGATCGTGAATCCGTCCGAACGTAGTGTCGTGAGAAGTGAGACCCGACCTTGTGGAGTGTCTGACAGTTTGGGAACCTTGCGCCCCTGCCGTGACTGAGCGGTCCACCCGTGCCGCCGGAAAAGTGCGTCAGGCGGCGGCCGGTAGCCGCCCGCCGACCGCTAAAACTCACCGCTGCACTACTGTCTACCGTCTGTCTGACTTCACTGACGGCGGTGCTGCCGCCGGCGCCGGTCCAAAATGTTCCACGTGGTCACCATGGCAGAGGGTAGGCGGATGGAGAGGAGAGGAGAGGACGGGGAGAGCGATGGAAGGAGGGCGTGGAGGGTGGTGGAGGGGGGGGGGGGGGGCAGAGGGCGGCAGGCCGTGGCTGAGGCCAACCGAGGTAGGGTGCTGTATATCGGTCAACGGGTCTGCGGATCCGCTGCAATGATCGCGTGTTCACGACGTTTTGGTCCAAATATCATAGTCAGCTATCCATGTGCGGTTTTCTACTTACCATTTTATCGATTTTCCTTTCCAAAATATGCCGACTTCTGCGTCTTGAAAAATGTGTCGCCCTTTTGAACTCTGATGCATGTTGGTCTAGTGTTGATCATTTAGCTTGGACGAGTGAATTTCCTTGACATAATTGATCGTTTTTCCACACGCTTCCACACTGTCAACGCGAGGCTCACTGGTTTGTTTAGAACAAATGAGAGTGACTTGGTGCGCCGTGCGTTCTGAGGGATGTTTACATTTGCCTGGCACTGGACTATTATAGGTCAATCGACTCAAGGTTACTGGGTCGACAGTTGAATAGGGTGCAAGTGCGCTTGATGTGAATCTTGAGGAAGGCCTAGTTCTGTGCCTTTGTTAGTTTTAATTGAAATTTATACAATTAATCGCTGAGATAAACGATCCTGAAAGACAACCTCACCCGATCCTGTTTTTACCGAGCGTGAAATGGTTTTACAGTGCTGTTGATATTCGTCGTTAAAATGATATTTGATGTCAAGTGTCTTATCACGATTTTGACGCAAGGGTCACTTTCACGATCCCGTATGAGGTAGCGAAGGTATCAAATTCAACCTACCAAACGGTCCTGCACTCATATCACACGTGTCACTCGATCTCTGTTTGTCAACTGTGTTTGCTGCCCATGTTCACAGTTTATCACGTGCATAACACATATTACCACCCGTAGGCTGCATGCCAACAGTGTGCTTGCTGTTCTCTCGCAACTTATTCTAATTGTTCTGGCGGACCCAGTGACAGCCTAAACGCTCTGTCTGTTACAGAGATCGGTATAGGCCTGGTGGGGTTCGGCGTGGCGTTCCTCTTCCTCGGAGTACTGTTTCTGTTCGACAAAGGCCTGCTGGCTATCGGGAACGTGAGTATTCGGTCGAGTGACACTCATCTGAGGAGCTTTGAGAGCCGTTCTATGTGTTCAGAATTATGAGTAGAGAAGGTTCAAGCTTCACATTTAATTAATATCTCGTAGTGTGTTGTTGATTATGGAGTCTCTCATCTTGCGAATACGAACACTTATGGGTAAAAAGATGAGAATGCTGGATATTTTGTATATTTGGCGGATAATTTACGCTTTTTGTTGTGTGTGTAGAAGGTTTTCTTTTATTTGTGCAGAAAGCGCGAAGGGTGCATCACAATCACAATAGCATAGGTACTTAAGCTTTCGATTTCACCGATAGATGGCACTAGTGATAAACGCCGGAAGGTATGCTGTACCGCAGTGCTTATGGCTTCGTCTGGGCGGTCCAGAAAAACGCCTAAGGGCGTAGATGTGCGTTGCTTAAGGCTAGATAAAACTCGTTGATAAGCTCTGGCTTATCATTCAATGCAATCTATTGACAATGACATAATTCTGAGTTCTAACCATGGTATCTGCTCTCCGTTTCAGATTCTGTTCCTGTCGGGCCTGGCGTTTGTTATCGGTCTGGAGCGGACGTTCCGCTTCTTTTTCCAGTCGCATAAGGTGCGCGGCACCGCCTCCTTCTTCGGCGGCATCCTGGTGGTCCTCATAGGGTGGCCGCTGGTCGGCATGATCATCGAGCTCTACGGCTTCGTCGTTCTCTTCAGGTGGGTCCTGTTGCGGTCCGTCCGCCCGCGGTACCATCTTATGTGTAGTGGTAAGGAGAGGGGGTGCTGCTCGATATCACTATAGTGATTCTCGGGCAGGCGTTATTTTGTAAACGTCTTTCATCGGGTTTGAAAATCTGGCAACAGAGTTTTTCTTAATTCATGTCGACTTTTATTTTGTGGATCTAGATCCGATAAAGCTCAGGGCGAAAGGTCTTGTTTCTAAGCAAGTAACTGTTTCTTGTTTCATTTTGTTTGCACATCCTAATAAATTGTTTACTTTCGGGAGACCGATCTCTAATATATTTGACAATGAGAACAAGCATTTTTAAATTTTAATAAGGCGTATTCGGTATGCGATGCATAACGAATTTCATATTATGACGTCTGGTATCCTTTTTCAGCGGCTTCTTCCCAGTCGTTATAAACTTTTTGCGACGAATTCCTGTGATAGGTTCATTTCTGAATCTCCCTGTGATTGGCCCGGTAAGTGAACCTTGCGATGAGTTGTTTTGATATTACATGATTCATAGGATCTCATGCTTTCTTTCTATCGATACTATTATAGTTTTGTATTGTGAAGTGTGTATATCATCCGGTTTTGTCAAAACACGACTTGTGGATCAAAAGGAACACTTTCTTAGGATTTCATGTCCTTAACGTTGAACAAAATCGGGTATGCTGCTCAAATCTCACAGCTCACTCAGAGTTTCTTACGTCTTCGTGAGATCACTTGGGTCGCCCCGCGACGCGACCAATCGTTGACGGACGGCATTCATTGCAGTTCCTGGACAAAATGTCGGGTGATCCGTCACGGCAAATGGTGTGAGGGTGGAGGTGCTGTGTGGAATCTAGGGACAAAGTGACCAGCGACCGGTTATGCCTGGCCCACTGCCGGCTCCGACTCGAGTCGCGCTGTGAGCAGTGGACAAAGTGCCGAACCTCGAGTTCGTGTGGCGACACACAGATGGCACTGCATGCGTCGTCCGGTGATATGTGATCGCTGAGTGAGCGTTCTGCTCAGCTCGGACATTCGAGTGACGCGATGCCCGAACCAGCGGGGATCAGTCGGTTCCGCGGCGCGAGGTGGCTCCATTCCTGGCGTCTTGTGCCGATCAAAAGTCGCCGACGACGCCAGCGTCCGGCCATCCCTGTCGCCGCTGGGAGCGAGACATCGCTAGCGTATCGGAAGGCTGCCTTGTGTGTACCTTACCGCGCCATCGTGGATCGTCCGTAGGGGGCGTCGTCCCGCTCTGTGGGTTTGGTGGGATGTCTGTGTAAGGGAGGGCTCGTTTGGTGGTTGACAGTTGTTACGTGGGATAAAGCGAGAGCCATGTAAAAGTGTTTGGGCTGCCCGGTCAAAGTGGAAACTGCGATCTCTCGTAGCTTTGTATTCTTGGTTTACTCCAACCAAATCATACACCGCAGTCCTTGTACTGTTTCACCTGTGCGCTGCACTAATGTCTATGCGAGTCCACGTCCCAAACATAATATATATGCTTTGTTCCCAAAGAGTATCCGATGTTGCATAATGTATATGTATGTACACATTGCATGCGGCCCCAGCCCTGCCTTTCGTGTGAACGGCAACTCTTTCGGCGGCGCCCAGCGCAAATCGCCTCATACCACATAAAAAAAAATCGGCCGCACTACCGCACTACCGACACTATCTTGACCATATCTCAGATCTCACAGACGACAGACACCTCAGTCTACACTAAAACATTACAACGCTGACACTCCACAAGATGCCGACGCGCGCACCGCCGCGCCGGAACTTCGCCTCGCACCTGCGCGCCATCTACCGAGTATTACACACACCAGAGTTTGTGGATTTGACCGCTGCGCGTGGCGCGGCTAGCGGAATTTGTTGATGGCGTCGAGGAGCACCTTCATCTCGGAGTTGATGTCGCGGATGAGCTCCTCCACCTGGGGCCGTGTGTCCAGGGTGATCACCTGCTGGGTGTATGGGTCGTAACGGACCGAGAACGGACGCGGAATCGTCGCCGCGAAGTTGCTGCGGGAGAAACGGAGAGGTCGTCAGTCACTGGGAGAACGATGCATAACCTGGACTCTGGAGAACACCAATTTGAATCGAAAACATGTATGTCACTAATTGCCCGCATCTAAAGACCCCGTATCAAAGGTTGAACAATTGCTTTCAGAACGAGTTGGAAGTTGTGAATGTGTTGTTGCATGCATCTTTGGATGATCGAATTCGGTTCTTTTCCTTTCCACTCACATCATCTTGTCCTTGGCATCGTCGAAGCTGTCGGCCACGTAGTAGACAGGCTGGTACTCGGTGATGGGGTACTTCTGGACGCCAGTCTTCTCCGGCATGAACTCGCGCACCTCGGGCTTGTCCGAGAGGCAGTACTCGAGCTCGCCGAACGAAGAGAGCAGGCCGGCGCCGTATGCCTTCAGCTCGCCCTCTTGGCGGCACAGGCCGAACTCGACCGTGAACCAGTAGCACTGCGGTGGAACCACGGGAGACCGTCAGGGCATCGATTGACCGGAGACGTATCACGTATGAAAACGAAGAGGAAACGAATCGCTACCGATTCATTGGTCATAATCATGCGTTCTTTGATGACATGTTATATTTAATCATTCAAGATATATTTCAAAAGCGACTTTCCGCCATGATCATTGTCCCATTTTACGTTCCTGGTGGTCAGGCATCCCTCGCTCCTGTATGACATCAGCTCGGACAGGGCCCTTCCCTTCCATTCTACCTTGTCGCCTCCCTGTCCCGTCCTTCTCAATCCAGCTGGAACAACTCACCGTGGCCAACTTCTCGACATACTCGTCGGGCGCGCCGAGCGAAGCCAGTCCAATCTCCTGGCTGAACCGGGCGAAGCTGGGGTCGGCCAGCAGCGGCACGTGTCCCAGCACCTCGTGGCACACGTCCGGCTCGGGTGTGTAGAACGGCCGGCTCGGGTGGCGAATGTACTGAGTGGAGTGAAACACACGGAACGCCAGGCCGGCCAGGAAGTCGCGAGACGAGAGCAGACCGGCGACCGGGCGCAGAGTGAAGCCGGTGCACGCTGTGAGAGAGACGGGAGGAGTTAGTATACGAGGGGTGCTTTGTATTCGTACTTGGTAGAGGCCGGATGTGAAAGTCTGAAAGGAGTTCAGCGGATTGATTTGGCGGCGGTAAAGGCTCCTTGTCACCTTTAGATCAAAACCGCTAATGATCTGTCTGTCGGTCAATGATCTTTTTTTTCAAGTCGCTTCCGGGATTTGTCACTTCACTCGAAAGTGCTCGCGATTAGTGTAAAGTAAACGGCAAACGCCCCACGAAGGGCCGAAACGTTTTAATCATACCACCCCGTGACGCCACTTCAGCCCAATAACGCTCCACCCCACAGGTGATCCTTACATTTGAGGAAGTCTGAGATATCCTGCAGCTGGGGCACGTTGTCCTCCCGGTAGCCGCAGTGCTCGATCAGCAGCGGGAAGGCGCGGTTGTGCTCCTTGCAGGCGTGCGTGGGGTACAGCTCCGTCAGCCGGCGGTACACCTTGCCCCAGGTCTCCACGTCCTCCTTGCTGTACTCGACCCGCGGGATCGGCGTGCCGCTGAGGGAAGCGATGGGGCAGAGGTTAGGTCACGGGGTCGCTAGACACGTGATCGGTATCGATATATTTTCACGCTGCACTCGGCTGTTTTCCTGATCTGGTATTTATTTCTTAAAAGCTGTACGAATGATATGAGTTATAAGATATTTTACCGTACAATGTATGCCGTACTTTTGGCTCCACAGTATGTCCGTCTGCTTCGATCCGACCTAGCCCCGCACAGCCGGATGACTCACTGTTTGTAGTTGTAGGCGATGTCTGCGAACTCCTTCCTGCGCCTCCTGTACTCGGCGTCTGTGAAGCCCGGGTGATCGGCATCCAGCTCAGAGCCGTACGACAATATCTGGTCGGCAAACTTGTCCAGGTCGGCGATCTTCTGTGGGTACCACGGCACCACGCCAGCCGCTGTAAGAACGTGTCAGGTCACAGGTCAGGTCAAGGGCTAGGGCGATCTTCTGTGGGCACCATGCGCCCTATGTTATCCGCTGTCTAGGACACAAGTCGCAAGTCATGATCTTTGTTACTGAAAGTGATCGTGCTAATTTATATACAGCGATCAAGGACATGATCCTATTGGAACTCGCTTCCTCGGGTTTCTTGGTGGGGATTACCGTCAACCCGGAACACGGCAATGTGACCATGAGATGAGAATGACGATGAGTTGGCTCTGTGGATAAAAACGAACGGATGAATAATATTATTATGCTCTTGGACTGTCTTGTCAAGGGCAATGACCACCAAATTTCGTGTCAGTTTTGGAATCATAAATCCAACCTGTTTCTACTGGTCGAAATTCATTTGGTCGTCCATATTTCTGGATGGGCCACTAGTTTACACACAGCTGTGAAAATGCATCCAATGGCGGATACACATTACACAATTGGCACCCAGCGGTACGCTGCCTAACAACAGTCGGTGGTGTGGTGCGCAGCAGTCTGTCCGACCTTGGCGGGGGAATTTATGACAGGTGTCGGATGGCGCCGCTGGATGCTGGGCTGGAGAAGACAGGACAGGCCATGGGGCAGTCCTGTCAGGTGATATTCGTGATCGGAGACGGTCACAGGACAAGCGCAGCCCAAGGCAGTGTGGGCAACTTTGTTGACATACTCGATCTGTAAGACAGAGTTCGATAGTTCACTTGACTACTTACTAGAGACGGGTCTTTTGAAGCCTGGGTGTTTTGGGGTGCTTTGTCTACTTTTTTTCTTTCAATGAACGTGTCGGGTGTGGTCTACGGGCCACAGCCCAGAAATTTGTCATTCTTTTCCAGGACCAGGACCGATAATTACACTTGACAACGAACGGCCAGCCGAATTAAATGCATTTCGACCTGTACGGACCGTCACTTTTCTTGCTATCATTTCCATCTCCAGTGTCACTTGGGCGTGATCTTGCCGAGACACAACCCATCAGGCATCGCCACAGTTCATACTTCATACCTCCGGCTGCATAACCAGGACTCTCACCAGTTCATTTCCACACAGGTTTCGTTGGCTAATTGGGTTACAAAATCTAACTTCACCAGTCTCTCGGAGAAGGCCTGTTTTCATCTCCCTGGGGTCAGTCTGCGAACTATTCGATCTCTCTGACCGTCATTGCCCCAGGACGGCGTCGGCACCTATAATTTTCCGTCGTCATCGCTCTCTCAGACAGAGCCGAGGGCATGTCATTCGCTGCACCCTTTCGCTGGCCAGTGGCCACCGTTCCAAACGTCCTTCAACTCTGGCCATAGCCGGTCATAGGCTGTCGACAGGGAACGGGCAACGGACACTGAAGTGCTGAAATTAATATTTTTAGACCGTTTTATGGTTATTACTTGAATTTTATGTACACGGTTTAAAGTAAAGTTCTTTTCAGAATGACTAAAACGTCGCTGGATATCTAGGTACTCCTTTCAGTCGTTTTCATCCAATCGATTTTGTTACCATGCCAATCAGCGTGGCGAGCTCCTTTGTTGTTAAAAATAGGCTGCGTAATAAATGGGTGTTCCAAAGGTCGGGAAAACCTGACGCCATAAGAGCGATCTGTGTGATTTCGTCGCTGCCTTCGGCCAAACCTATGAGGTAATCCATATTATCGCTGGCCTGGGGAATATTCAGGAGGCTCACTCGTCCCATTTATGTACTTGGTGGGCTATCGAGCACAACAGAGCCGTAAAGTAACCAAACGTTCCATCGAAACGTCTGGGTGATCTCTTCTTGAAGCGAAAAGGTGATGCTAGGATAATGTAAATTGGAGGACCAAGAATGATGAATATTGCTCCGGTCCAAGCTTAGTCGGACGGCTGATGTTCAGTTCCCGTATCACCAGAAATCTGTTTTTGTGGCGATCTTGATGGTCACGATAGATTTAACATTCAATTCGTTGCCGTTACGCTTCCTGCATTTATCATTAAAAAGCATGATAGTTCATAATCCCCTTCACCTCTCTCCTTATGATTTCCCGTCACCAGTAGAGCGTGATTCGAATTTCACACTTCTTATCATATCTATGCTTCCTCTTCTACATAGAGATAGGCATGGATAGGTCTATGTTTTTGCATATGTCTGAAAGCTTATTAGAAATTCTGAATTCAATCGGGTAAGCTACCACGCATGTCCCGCTTTTTGGCCTACGACTGTCCCCCTTTTTGGCCTTACCTGCGTTGTTTTTGTAGTTTCTCGAGATGATCTGGAAGTAGGACGACTTGTCTTTGAGCTCCTCCAGCGCCTTGCCGACGGTGGGTGCCTCGGTGTTGATTTCTATGATAAACTCGTACTCGTCACTCCGATGTGACGACCGTGATTCGATGTGCTCAAGGTTCACCTTGTGTCTCTGCCGAGCGAAAAACGAGCCGGGTTAAAGCCCTTCCGAGTGAGCTTTCCATGCCTAATTGTCGGTTTTTGTTCCTTATGATCAGCCGTCTATGTTGTAAAAACGTGTTTATCCTTGATCACCAGGTAGTTTTTTTGAACGGTTTTCTACTTTATGACCAATCGTGGAGACAGTCTGAAAAGGTCGGAAATGGATCTCTCGACAGTGATAGATCCTTGGCGGGTACTGCTGTCCTCGTCCGGTGCCATCAGGGGACCCTGAAAACGCCCCCTCCCTGTCCCTCCGTGTCCCTCTCCGGCTATCATCCCGTCCTGGCCCTGCCGGCCGGTCAGCGGACAGAAGCGATCGCCGCGATACCTCCTCCGACCGGCGCAGTCAAACAGGTTTCGGCGCCAGCCTCTGGCAAAAACATCCCGACAGAGGAGCGGTCAGACATGACCGGCGGTCAGACACGCCTCCGTGTCGACCAATCAGAGCCGCCGGTGCTTCCCGGCACCCAATCAGAACGGGCGACTGTTGCCGAGCCCCCGGCTCGCCTACTGCGCACCACAACGCGACAGGCGCCACATTTCTTTGCAGCCGCTGATTAGTGATTATAATGGGCCTCGTGTTTGGCCGAGTGCTGATAACAGGGAGTGAATTTCATGATTGAGCTGAGTGAAGAAGTGAATAGCATAAAGTACATCCCGCATTCATATTTCATCAGCTGTTGGTTGTTTGGCATCTGCATGGTGTTTACCATTTGGTGTTTGGTACGCGATAGCCCGTCTCCACATAGTCAATTTTATGCCACTCGGTGACTGCATCTGTCACATTCGCGACCAGCAGCTTGCAATCCGTCTCATAATGAGCGGCATAGGTATTGGCCATAGCGGCATAGGAGCGGCATATGTCTGGGGCATAGGTATTGGCTTTGTGGCCATTAAGGTCATCGGTGGAACCAGATGACACATAAGATCTGTGCCAATAATCTGTTTTCCTTCCAGTCTCACGGCGAAGCAAGACAGAATGATTTACAGCTACCGTATCCATATACACGAGAACGGCACCGTTTACCGTGTTAGCGTGCCTGTATATGACGGACTAACAATCAAGCTGAATGTTCATGAACCCACCTTGAAGATGTCGAGCGCCTCGGCCAGCGAGCCGCTCTCGTGGCTCATCGAGAACGTGATGGTGACGAGCTTATCCGAGTCGAGGCCCTCGATGATGTAGTTGCCACCCTCCTTCAGAATCGGCTGCAACCAGAGTCACACGGTCATCGTCAGGTTGTAAATAAAGTAGAGCTCCCACTGAACTTGGCAGGGAAGCAGTAAAGATCTGTGTGGGTGTAGTTTGGTGTCAGTCAATGATCAATAATCATTTTTTTGTTAGTGTTACCTTTGGTCACTTCTCAGAGTGTCGGTATCATCCGATTGTCAGTTTAAATGCAAGTGCCGCAGTCGGTAACAGTGTTAGTGAATGACGTCGCTGTCGTCATTCAGTGTCATTCCTGGTTCCTGTACAACAGACAGTGGTGTCGATCACGTCCCGGTGTCAGTCAGTCAGTATCCGTGTCACTCTGGAGTGCCCGTGTCACTAACGGCTAGGGCTGTCGTCTGCGTTATTACGTGGTCGGGCAGCCGATTCCATTTACGGGCCGGGCCCCTGAGGAGAACTAATATGGAACGCACATGAGTGCGCCGGCATCCATAGGAATTAGGACGGGGCTGGGATGTCGGTCTCAGGTCAATAGGAGGCGACAAATAGGCGGATCCAAGGCTGCACTGGTGCAGGATGAGGACGAGAGTCTCCACGGACCCAGCAGGCTCAGAAAACGGTCACTTCGCCTTCATTGGTGCAGTTGATCCAGATTAACAAATTTGTGTCGGATAATCTATCTCTATCCCGCGGTCATCAAAAACAAGAGTTTAAACTTTGAAGTGTAATTCCATTTCGTTAGCACTCAATGTCTTACATCTATTTTGTGAAAACTTTTACCATCGACATGTTTCTGGCCGAAAAAAATCCGTGTTTTTGTTAGAAAAACCCAAACAGTTTTTGGATAGATCTCGTCAAGGTCGTTTTGTCGCGGATTCCTGACGTGTTTTTACCACCACCACTTCTAGCGTCAGAAGAGATGGATTTTATCTCTCCCAAACGAGAGAGGTAGCCATTCGGCCCAATGCCAAGCAGGCCTGAGGCCAGGGTGGCCTGAGCACCTGATGCGGCGCTCCATGCCCAGCCCCCGTGAACCCGTGTTCACGGTGTGAGTTATCTCCCTCTGGCAGCTCCGTCCCGGGTCAGCTCGTGTTCGATGACCGAATCTCTCGGTCAGCGATGACCTGAAGGTGAGCTGTGGCGACAAGCCCGACCGGACCACCCAGTGATGACTGCCGAGGTGCCGTCACAAGCCAGCCGAGGCTTTGGTTGTGGCATGAGTTGTCCAATCGTGTTCATTCCAGGATGCCAACGGCGACAGGGCCTTGCGTCATGCCCATGGGTGGAGAATGTTTGAAAAAGTTACCCCGGCCGGCGACCGAAAGTCAGAAAGACGATGATGCACAAATATTTGTCAACGGTTATCAACAAACCCCTATTCTGTGGCATGGAACAATGGATGTCTGCCATTACGAGTTATCCAATGTTTTATTTGCAGTGATTTAGCTCGAATTTTTTAATGGACCGATTGACAGAGCCGGGGGCCCACGCTAAGCAGAGCTTGTTGCGTAGGTAGACCCCGAACCCTACCGTCCGATCGCGCAATTCTGGGTAACGGGATAATTTAGATGCCAAAGTTTAACGTGCCCTTCAAAGTCGGACACGGCCTGTCCCACTCAACTGACTTCAGCTGGCTGCGGCTGCTCCCACCAACCGCAGACCATCACCGTCAGGAGTCTCAAATATCGAGCGCCGGAGCGACTCGAACCCGGGCTCTCGGGAGTCCATTGCCTCTACCAACTGAGCTACGGGACAGACTTATGTTATGAACTTTGAGAAAAGTCGTTGGAGAACGCTAAAATCAGAGGAATTTGGCTTTTATTATCTATGGTGATTTTATGATTGAGCTTGCCTAAAACTTGACCAGATTTCTCTGATCACGTTTGTCCCTCTTTCAAACGTCGTTCCGCTTTTCGCCTCGTAGCCCAGTAGCCGAGTTAGAAGGAGCGTGAAACGCCGACCGCTCGACTCAACGTGTTACGATAGGGCCACCACCCTGGCGCGGGTTAAGTTGGAGGAGCCTTGAGCCCCAGCCCCCAACAGCTCGTCCTTCTATCTCACTGGACACTGATATTACCCTCGTCCTCTCTTGTGATGATATTGCAGTGCCATCTTACGATAACGGCCCTTAAGGGTGCGATGTTAATGTTAAGTCAATGGGAGGTGAAAAACCGCAATATCTTGAAAACCGATAGAGATATTAGCCTCAAATTTGGCATATACCTGCTCCATGGGTATACAAAGCCTACTTTGGACAAGTTGTTTGATTCCGTGCAATATTCACGTTGATATTGCACGATAAAGGTGGAAAAACTGAAAAGTTTGAGCCGAAATTCATTAAATGTCATTCAAACTAGGCGCAAAAAATGAATGGCACCCGCATCTCCTCAAAGTGGACAACAATTCTATGTACTCCGATTTCCCATTTTCTTTTTGCAATGTTGCAAAAAATGAAAGTAAAACTTTGCTCATCTTTCATTTTTTGTGTGAGGCATAAAACAAAAAACTGGCTACATAGAAATGTGCACAGAACATTTCTTCACACGAAAATGAAGTTTACTTTTCAGAAATATCTGAACTGTGACTGGAATTAAGCCCGATTCATATCCACTTTTTGACGGTTTTGTTGGTTCAAGGGAGTGCCGCTAGATGTCGTACGGGTCTCCGCCTCGGTCCCTGCCGTTCCCCCATGTAATAAAACCCGCGAGTCGCGCCGAGCGGCGGGGAGGGACTGTCAACACACGGTGATTTATGGTTTGGGGTTCCCGCATGTGCCGGTGGCCGTGAAACTCTGCTGGAACAGAAGCGAACTCGGGATTGTCGGAGGAAAATACGGATGGTGGGGGGATTGAATGAGATTAGTGGATTATATAAGTAGTATATCGATACACAGGTTACTAACTACCAACCTTGGCGCCTATATACTTGACCTTCTCCCCTAAATAAACATGGGTATTGCATGTGAACTGTGATGGCACGCTTGAATTTGATTGTGGCCAGTCTGTCTATACGTCAGTAATATTACATTCGCATAGTACCTACTCTGAACTCTGAAGTTGCATTTGTATAGCAATCACAATTCACAACACGTCGGCAAATAATGTGGTATCGGTATATAGCAACCACATGGTGAAGCTCAAGACCAAGAAGGAACAACCAGTACTACTAGTATTGTAATACTCACGGAAAGTAATAAAACAGTGTATCAGTAGTTGTACATCAGCGATGCATCATACATAAATCCCCAGTTTGGCGTCTGCTCTGCTGACACAGTGCAGAGGCGAAGCCAATGAAAACATACCAGTAGGTATAACCGGTACATAATATTGCATCCATGGTATCATTGGCATATTGCATTCGTACATGACACGAAACTGACACAGAACAAGGAGCACAAAATGAGATCGGCATGATGCTGAGCGAATGCTTCAGTTTTGGCACGATTGCTGAAAGTACCTTAGCTGATGCGTGGTTGACATCTGAGCCAATGATGATATGTTACATCGAAGTCTCATTCACTGTTGTGAGTCGCTCCCTTTTTTACCCTTTTTGCCATGATGGGATGAGTGACAAAAAAAAGTTTCAGCTTGTTAGACGTGTGGCAGGGCTAGTCGCCTCATCATGTGTTTTTTTTTTCTTCACGTCTTTGCCCTTGGGCTCCCTATACCTTGTCCGCTCACGGAACGGCATGTGTCGTGCTTTGCGGGGATCTATCATTTCAGGCACGATGCACTCATTCAGGCCTTCACTTTTTCCAGTCTGTTTGCGATGAACGTTTCGTCAGCAGCTATGCGCTGACAAGACGTTTCGTTTGGTGTCCAGACAAAAAAGTCACAGAACTTTGCACCAGTGCAAGCCAACTGGCACTGAACTTGGGTGTAATATTGGTGACTCTTTTTTAGCTCAAGTTTGTCGTCAAGAAAAAAAAACTAGTTAGTCCACTAGAAGACGCAGCCAGTCTTTCCAGTGAAGTGTTCTCTGCACTTTTGGGACATTTCACTTCTGTACTATGATGTCATCAGAAACGATTCCATCAGGAGTGGCGGCCAAAAATGGATGTTTCGGGTGCACTATACCAGCCCAACTGGTCTTTTAACTTCTGTGTTAAAACACAGAAGTGAAACAACACAGAAGTGTTGTTTGCTTTTCATATGCTTGTATAGCTAGCTCCTCGTTGACGCGGCCATACTGCAGAGCAGGTGTATCTAAATCTTTTGTTGTATCGTAAAGAAGTCTGTTCATGATGTTTTTGTTTGACGTTGAGTCTCGCATATTCGCTATTTGGTGAAAGAATGTCGCAGTGACGCGCTTGCGTCGCTCGCGGTGCCACTCTTCCTTGTCATCAGCAGTGTTCTCAGCTCAGCGATTTGGGCACGCTCCACAGCAGTGCTTCCAAGGCTGTCTAAGAACTCCTTTGTTTTGAGCTGATAATATATTGCTGAATATCGCGGTCCTCTAAGTCGGGTGCTGCACAGCCGGGTCCGTAGTCCCCATCTGTCCCCGCGAGAGAACGCCGGACGTATCTGCTAACCCTTTTGGCCGGATCGTTGGGACGTTGGAGACGTTTCTTTTGAGCGACATTGACATATTTTTTCATGATCTTTGTTGGACTTTTTTGATATTTTTGTTTGAAAACATCGATATGCATCTGGCTGCCGGACTGGAAGGCTAAAGCTGCTGCGGCACAGCGGTCATGGTACCCACGTTTCTGGTAGTGGTTTACCCGTTTACCGCCGAGGGTTTTTGCCTCGGCGACAAACGACATGCTTTCAAATGAGAAATAGATGAGAAATGGAATACGAATCTTCCAGCTCATAGTTTGCTCCATTAAAATAAGATTGTGCGCATGGGGCTTAGCTTCAAATGAGAAAAAAAGATGCTGAACTTCCCGTTGTTGTTACGGAGCGAGCGAAGCAAGCGAAGTCTTTTCAATATAACGGATAAATCTCAGTAAGAGCGGCCCGGCCCGACCCGGCCCGGGCTGTAACGCTTTTGAAAGGCTAAAAAAACTCAGCAACCGCTGGGCCGATTTACTTGCGGTAATTTTTGTATAGCTAGCTTCCTTCTACCAAGTATTTGACTTCTTTCGATGCATATGGGTGACCCCCTATGCACGTGCCACGTGCAAAACGAAGAGGAGTCATTTTTGTAACAATTGCAATATCCCGGTAGTTACTGGGCCGATTGCGCTGAAACTTTGCATGTAGGTAGGCAGTAGGCACCCACTGGCCACTAGGCAATGCATTTTCATGTCCCACAGTCCATGTGGGGTGCTGCTGCACGTGCGCACGTGCAGGGGTCGATTCCAGATCTCGAGAACGGCTGGACCGATTGCGCTCAGATTTGGTTAGCGGTTAGGGATCCGTAGGTAGGGTGCCGTGCAAAAGTCGGTTGGGACCCATTTTGCACGTGCGCACGTGCAGGGTGCCGCTTCTAGATCTCGAGAACGGCTGGGTCGATTGCGCTCAAATATGGCACATTGCTAGAGACCGGGTTAGTAGGGTACCGTGCACAAGTCAGTTGGAGGTACCCCCTCACAATTTCCCACGTGCAAGGCCCACCCTCTCGCTCGCTCCGTTTGTCGTCCTATAAGGCGTTTTACTGGTAGTATGTGTAGCAATGTGAATCTAGCACTGCATTTCACTAAAACAATGCCGTCAGGTCAATCATGTGAGGATATCAGACGCATTCTTGTGACTAGAGCTGCGGCAGACTCAATATTCGATAACATGTATCCATATCAAATAATCAGTTTCGTTCTAACTGGGTAGGACGTACCTACACCAGGCCTCTCATGACCAGGCTAATGACGGCGCCGGGAAGGTCTGTCGAGAGACGTGTTCCTTCCGCGCGGTGTTTACACACCATGATCTCCCTCAGTCGGCGCCGCCCGCCGCTCCGAAGTTAACGCACCCTTAAATATGATTTAGGGTTGTTAGATGAAACTTGTCGGGCTGCGCGATGAAAGAAAATTAAGAGCATAGAGGCTCCAAAATGAAAATAAAGTAAATTTTAAAAAACCTTTCAAGGTAGATAAGAATAATGAGAGACACTTTTATAGGTGGCAGTTTTTCGCATGGAGATAGCTTTTAGGATTTACAAAAGTGGACAAAGTTACCCCGGCCGCGCCGGGGTAGGCTGAAAGTTACCCCGGCCACGGCCGGGGTGGCCGGGGCAGGTTCTCCACCCATGCCAGATGCTGGCACTGTCATGTAGGGTGTCCGTTGAAATGTATCAACGAAACCACTGCATAAGCCGGCGATAAGTCACAAGACGAAGTAGTTTGGCTGCTTTCAATGCGCATGTTGATGATTGTGCCTGTCGGCTTGACAAGCGCGCTTATTTACGATGGTTCATTTTGCTATACCTATAGTTCGTTCGAGTTGGTTCTTTGTCCTCAACGTAAAACATGTTGTTCGAGTAGTTTTCGTCTTTTGAAGGTATAAGCTCAGATCGCGTTAGTTTCGTATCTGTTTCTTTTTCCTATGGCATTGTAGGGTCGGTTGTATGCTTTGCCTTTCAATTTATCTCGATTTATGTTCTTGGTCCGTGAGGCTGTTTTCGCTGAAATGGATCGTTTTATCTGAGCCACTACCTGCCCAGCTCAAATACGTCAGCTGACCTGCTGGTTCCGAGTTTGGTCATGTGGCGCGCTTCTGGCATGAAATTGGCTCCACCTGTATGATGCTGGGCCATCATGCTCGGAGGTAGATTGGCAGCCGGGGGCGGTGAAGGGATTCAATTAGACGGTTAATCACTTATCACGCTATTCGATCATTTGGTTACCACATGATGGATGCTCGCGAATGTTTTGGCGGCCACCTTTTAAATGTTATCTTGTATAACAACATAGCCTCCCAGCGACCTAAAGTTATTATGGATCCATGACGTCTGACGAACAAAACACCTAAAAAACTATAGAAATATTGCCTTAATGTAGCTATTCTATACCAGAAAGAGACGACAAGAAAAGAAAACATGAAACGTTAATTCCCTTACGAACTGACAATTTTTTTTTTCGAATGCAATGAAATGGTACGAACTTTGACGGAAAGACTGATGAAAAACTAATTTTGTTTCAATTGTGTAAAAATATGAGATTAAATGAACGATTACCCGTTCGCAGATCAGATGGGTCTGTCGCAATGAGGTGTTTCTTGGCTTAGAAATTGATAGCGGCAGCAACAAAACTTAAGCTGCAGCCCCCCAAAATATATATTTCTAGGTATATGCTCTTATGGATGATATGCGTAGCCATAGGCGGCGGAACGGGGAGGGCACCGGGGCACCGTGCCCCCCCCCCCTTTGATTTGGGCATTTTAACATTAGCCCTATGGGCGTTGCATGGAAAGAATGTGACCTAAAGTCGGCAGTGCCCCCCCCCCTTAATTGAAGGTGTTCCGCCGCTAGCTACTGTGCGTAGCCTGTATTGCAGATCCTGTCCGTATATGTCTATTGTCAATATGACATACGTTTGAAACCAAATGGCTCTATGTCACTTCATTATACCACAATTCACGTGTTAATTAGGTACTCGCTATGCAGTCGTTTTTAAGCCGTGCTTCCTCGGCTGTTTTGCCTAAAGGTAAATGTTTTGAACTGATGGCTTTTTAACGTTTTTGGTAGCTTGTTACGATATTTTTTCAAAAAAAAAAAAAAGATAAAAGAGACTAATGAGCTCCGCCTAAACACATATGATGTTTAAACCACTTCATTTAGTGACTGCTGGCTGCAAAAAAAGACGTAAGAGTGTTCGTTCTCATGCCACCCACACTATCGTTGAACGAATTCGGCTAGCCGATGAATTGCATCCCATCCTCAAAACCTCAAATGCGACTGTTTTGCTACAGGTAAGAGCGAAGAACATACTGGACTAGAAGGAAGGGTTACGTAAGTGCCCACATTGCATAATGCCCCTTATCTCAATCTGCCTGTCTCCCAACACCAGACCGTAGTCAGACTTCGTGCGTTGAGCCCACCTCTTTCTCGTGCGCGTAAGTGGTCGCTCTGCGCGGCTTCTTCGCCGGTGACTCCATCTTGGGCGCCGCCGTCTTGGTGCCTCCGTTCATATCTGCGACTGATGATCCGAGGCTGTGACTCCCTCCAGCTGAGCCGTCTCCCGAGCTGCCGCCCGCCCCGGCTCGCCACCAATACTGACACCGCGCCGTGTGCGTATCCGCGGCCGACCCTCCTCCGGCCAGTGACGTCAGAGCTGCCTCACCGAGCGCCGCGGGCACGCCGACACCTCTCTCCGGCTCGCTCCGTGTGGAGAGGCTGAACGATAGATGGTATCGGCGACCGACTTTAAAGGCTCGCCGCGGCCCGGGACATGTCTGATGCAATGTGCCTGCCCCAGGGGACGGCCCATGCGCTGTTGTTTGGGTGGCGGGGTGCGTGTTTGGCCGGCGTTTGGCTTGACCCCGGACCGTCAGGTAGTCAGTCGCGTGCTTGAGGTAAATGAAGGAGAGACAGTGCTGACTGCCTTATGTCAGCTGCATGCTGATTGCTGATTGTGTTCGAGCCTGCTAGGTGCTTGCTCAATCACGTGCAAATAGAAATGATTGGAAAATAACCCTCGTGAATGTTTTCACTGTAAGAAAGCTACCGCTCTTGCGCAGGGTTGCTGAGATTATATTCCCTGTGGTTACTTACTGAGTGCGTTGCAGTCGGTCAGAATCTGTTGTAAAGTTGTGTTTGACCTCGTCATGTAATTAGCGTGTGGCAGGCCCCGCCCCGGTGTACCGTTCGTCGAAGGTAATGGATCATGTGTGATGTAAGATTGGCGTAACTTGGCTCACACAGCTGAACGTACGGGCTTCCCGGCCCGCCCCCGGCGAGAGTCGAAACAGTCGGTCCAAACGAGGCAGGTTCGTTCGGGGTCGGGAAGGTGGTATTACGCGAGGAATCGTGTTAATGATGCCGTAATACTAAAAGGAGTTCGTTGGCCGGAGACTAGGAACAGGATATCGTAAAACGATATCCGGCCTTGAATAAGGCCGGTTAGAAACAGCTAAAAAGTATAATGAGGAAGTTATTGGCAATAAAAGATACCATCATGCCTAGATATAGGACTTACAGGTTTTTAGCCGTTTATTTTAGTATTATCTTACGAAACGCCGACACGTCATGTCAATGCCGGGAAATAATTGTTCTGTTTGCAAATATGTCGCAAGAAATCGTGCAAAATTGTGACGAATAAAGGAAGTAAAGCACATGAAGTCAACAGCTCAAGAACGAAAAAAGAATCAAGCAAATAACTCGGCAATAAAAAAGTTGTTATGCGTGGCAATCTCACCTGATTCGGGTGGCTACGCTTCATCTCGTCCAGCTCCTTGTCCGTCATCTTGGTCTTCTTGATGAGCATATCCTGCTCTTCGGACGCTCCTCCAGCTCGCTTCTTGGACCCGCTGCTCTCCATAGTTGATAACCTCTGTTTACCTGCGAACACGCTCTGTAGTGTGCGCTGGATCGTCTCCGAACCTGACGGCGCCTGCAGCCGGTGGGGCTCTGGCGAGTGCGCAACGAACGCGCTGCCGGCCGGTCGCCGCCCGCCGCGGGGCCAGTCGGCCGGCCGGACGGACGGTCCTGCTGATCGCATGCGGCCGTCATGCGGCGCGGAGCGGCGCAGGCGTCATATCTCAGAGCCGAGGCCGCCCTATCGCGGGACGATCACAGCCGCCCTCCCGAGGGCCAGTCCGAGCCTCCCGTGATGGATCCGATGGCACTCAGAGGACAGAGGTCGGGCCAGGGATGGGACTCGACTTGTCGTGTTTGTCAGGGAGAAATGAGAATGACACGCATTTGGCCGAAACCCTCTTCGAAAATGCTGTTGAAATGAGCGTTTGGTAACTGATGGACGTAAAACAGACGTAGTTTCTCAGTGTTTGTGGACGTAACTGGGGATGCCTGAAGATGCCCATTAAGCTTGACACAGTGCAGGACTGAGCTACGCATTATTTGCTGTTAGCAATAGTGCGCTTTGCTAGGTACATTTCCTTCCTGCGTATTTTCCTTTCGCAACAAGCACATGCAACTTTGTATTAGTCGCGAACAAGCTTCATATGCTTTGAAGTTACGCAGGTCGCAGAACATTATGTCTACCCCATTGTATTTGGTTTCGTTTGGTCATTTAGTCGCTTTGGGAAAGACCCACGGGCCCCACAGACCTTGAATTGGTCTGTCTATTTTTAGATATGTAGTGTCAGGAACCTGATTTCGAGCGAGAGAGAGAGAGAGAGAGAGAGAGAGAGAGAGAGAGAGAGAGAGAGAGAGAGAGAGAGAGAGAGAGAGAGAGAGAGAGAGAGAGAGAGAGAGAGAGAGAGAGATAGAGAGAGAGAGAGAGAGAGAGAGAGAGGCGGGAGGGAGGGAGGGCGTATGGGAGAGAAAGGAAAAGAGAATGAAAAAGAGGTGACAAAAAAAAAACAAGTAGGGCTAAACGAGAGACTATGAGTGATTGAACTCCTCTCACAATTTCACGACCTTCAGTCCTTTTCCTCTTCCGGGAGCATCGCACCAGGAGGACGGTTTTTATTCTCATAGCTCAGCCTCTCCCGCGAATACATCTTAGACGGAGTTATTTGATATGCTCAGCGATGTAAGAAACGATTCCAAGAAAGGTTATAATTTGATAGCAAGTAACATTATTTTGCTTCAGGTATGTCGAACGGTCTTACGAGGTTGGGATATTCTAGAAAGGTATAGGTCCCTACAACTTACAAGTGTATTTTAACTCAGGATATTAACAATGAACTGACTAATTTTTGTGGCTAATACTTCTAAATTGCAAACTCTTTCTTACCCAAGGGACTTGGCCCACTTACTAGTGAGGCATTACGTCACCTTCTTACATATACGTAGTGCATTTCGTAGCGAATCCGGATGTCTAAACATGCATCTCCTTTCGATATTACGCTGAGTCATGTACCGTTTTGCATTAGCGCATTCCGACCTCGAGATGGCTAGTAGCGAGCCATGCACGCCGCCGGCGGCGACGAATGGCGCATGTGCTCAGTTGTGGCGCATTTGTGGCCATTGCGCCGCACTGTGGCGTAGTTGGTCCTGTCGATACCACGTCGTTCTGGTGGTAATGAGGGGCAGCTAGACAGAGCTCTCGAACGGCGCCCATGTCCGCGGGGCCCAGTGAACGGCGAGCACACGGCATCTAGCCTGCCGAGTGACCGGATTTTGCAGCGAGGCTGATGGTTAATTACAATGAATAATTAACCCACCCTACCGATAGCTGTTTCATGAACATTGAATTAAAATGATAACCGAAAGAGTAGCAGATGCAGGTGAGGAAACTTCAGCAACTTTTTCAAGGGCTTCCGTAGCATGTCCGTCTATGCACAAGCGTTATGAGTTGACGCATTCAAATTAAACACTATCGGGTGGTTTGCAGTGGACATTTATGAAGTAGCTCAGCACTACACGGGCACTTTTATCACCTCCGGACCCCTTCTTTGATGAACTGTGATATCTGCCAGTTGATGTTCTCTGAGTTCTCGTTCCAGTTGTATGGCTGGTGCTACTGTCGTACACTTTGTTGCAGTCCCTCAGTGAAGTACTATTGTGGGGTGAGGTATTGCAGTCTCCAAGCTCATCTGACACTGTGTTTGGCTGACGGGCGATTAGGCATAAATTTCGGGTTGAAATGGTGATGTGAGTGAGCGAACTTGATTCCTATATGCTTTCCGATCTGTAGGTAGACTTCATGGCCATATCAGCGTCCTATACACAAGAAAAAAAAACTTTCGACTTGGAACTGCTCACTGCTTACTGCTTAGTGCTCAGGTTCTCCCGAGCACAACGTTCAACCTTTTCGATAGACGATTCAATATTACGCAATGGTGTTGCCTCGTAGAATATTGCATGCACCATTCCGATTGTCTCACGACCCAACAACACCTCGAGAGCTGTCGATGCTGTCCGATCGCCCGAGGCGGCATCGTGACACCGGAGAGCGCTGATTGGATGGCAGCTGGTCGGACCACCCCACGTGACCTCATAGTGTTCTGCGGACCACCCCACGTGACCTCACAGCCTTCTGCTCTGCCAGTCGGCCGCTTCACCGCCTGTGCCTGCGCCGGGCGACGATCCGCCTAGCCTGAACGGTGGGTTAGAGAGTCGTCGGTGGAAAACTACCCACCGGCCGGGCCATACGTGACGAGCGTCTGGGCGAACGGGTGGCCCTGTCGTCCGTTACATTACCATAAGGTTTATGGGATATGACCAATGATCAATTCCATTGCCCCTTTGGGTGACTGATGCTTCGCAACGATGATACCAATACTGCAAGCTGCTTCATGATTAGTCAGAAATTGGTTATTAATTATGATAGTTTATTATATGTTTTTGTATGAAAAAGGTTGACCTAAGGTTGACGGTTGACCTAAAAAGGTTTACCTAAGGATAACTATATGACTTGACTGGAAAAGGGCATGCTGCACATCAGTCAGTCGGTCTGTGTACCTAGCTGTCGCTGAATTGAACAAAGGCAACGTGTTGTTGCATCTCTTAAAGTAGATGTCTTTAGCAAAAGTTAGTGACGAAAAACTTCTGGTGACATAAGTTTTCACGACCTCACACAGCTCAGCTCACTGATTTCGTGAAACGACGCACGCACGACGCTCGGACCGTTCGAGCGGCCAAATATGAGTAGATGTGAGATGTCATGAGTTTCAATACATCTTGTGCCATTTATTTTTTTCGTGGTATCTTCCAAGGCCAGCAACATTTGACCTCTTCCAACAGTATTTAATGGTCAGGCTATGGGTAAATCTTACACGTTCCCGGGCCATAGATATGCGAATTAAAACCAGGATATACGAATCGTTTTCATTAGTACCCGAATGCTGCACTCACAACTCCAACCAACTGATGGAATGCAAGATAGGACGACCAAAACCTTACTTGATACAGGGGCCCGGTCTGACTGAAAGCTCAAATAGGTACACAAGGGCCTGGGTGGTCGGGAGCCCGAGAAAGGCTAAAACACACAGAAGGCCCATCGGATTGTTCTGAGGAATACTTTAGGCAAAGGGGCCCTGTCGGCCCTGCCGGACCCAGTCGGACAAAGGGGCTTGGTGCCATCGGTCGATGATGGCCGGTTCTGACAAATGCTTTAGAAAGAGGGACCGGTCGGCCGAGGCCTGAAATGGTAAAAAAGGCCCGTTCTGAAGAATAACTTATTATTGTAGGAGCCCGGCTCTGAGAGATTCTATGGATACACGGACCCTTCCAACGGAGCATATTAGAAATGACATACAAATGAGTCTGACACACAAGTCGGGAGCTGTCGGATGGGACTCCGACGACGACTTCTTTAGAAGAAAGGGCCCGACGAACGAGGCTTTTTCTCATAAAAAAAAAAACGAGACACAAGGGCTCGGTTTGGTGAGATCGACAGACATTTCGTAGCAAAAAGTCTCGTTCGGACGGGGCCCGGTGACAATGCCTAAATGAATTAGTCATAGAGAAATAAATCGGAGGGAAAGAAGCCAATCCCTCCTGCCTCCACCCTGGAATTTCTGTCACGGGCTCGCGGTGAAAGCCTACCCTAAAAGGTCAGGTGATTAAGTCATTTTAAATAAATAACCCGACCTAACTGCCAAACAATTTTTCCAGCTTTAGCACCGTGCCAGAGCCTTTCGAGGTCCCAACCCTTTGAACACTGCAGCCTGCATGATGTGATAAGGCCATAGGTGTTTACGGTGCATCTTGGATTTTCCCTATCGATGACCTATGGTAAGCTCCTTTTCTTGACTTTCTCAATTCTCATTACTCATTAGGCCAGCGTCCCATACCTAAAGTTGATTCTGAATGACATAATTCATAATCAGCCTTGACTACCTAGACAAATGAAGGTGAAATTTTGCAGAAAAAGGTTTGCTTATCATAATAATGTTTGCTGAATTTTAAGTCTGGTAAACCCAAGACAAACCTGCACGTTCACAAAAATTGCAGTGTTTTAAGAGTCCGATCAGCTGTTTTGTTCTTGTCACACCTGCGCTGTATCTGTAGCATTTCTTTTCTGTATGTTGAAGAGATAGCGTAGTTTCAATTGTTTTTATAGGTATATTTACCTTATTTTCAGTGTATCAGCACATTTCTAGTATTTTCTGCAGGCTCAACACTTCCTAGTTTGTTGATAATGGTTGAGAGTGCAATGGAACTGTGTACCTAGTCAGAATACTGGGCGGTGGGCAGTTGTAAAGCAATTTTCCTTTTTTGTATTTATTATTGATTTTGGGAAAAAATATGCAATCAGGTGGCAAAAGAAAATATGAAAAATACAACTTAAACAAATAAGTTGAACTTGAAGCTGTGACAGTGAAGCTAGCAGATAAGATGAGATTGCAGATTGCTAGGGTGTAAGGCAGTCTCAAATTGATCTACAATAATTACCTCATGTGAGCATTTTTTTTTTGTGCATTGTCATCTCATTTTATTCATTTTTATTTATTTTTCCTCTCTTCAAAAGGTTGAGTCATGCAAGTACAGAATGTCTCCAGCTCTTCCTTTTCTCCTAACCCTTCTTCCTGGGCTACGGCAGCAGTGCAAGTGGGAACTGTGAGCCCACCCCATTCTTGATAGTGCAACTGGTGACAATGGCTAGGGGCAGGGGGGATGGTGGTACCAGGAATAGAACCTAGAATCCCCTGGCCACCAGAATGATGTTTTACCCATTGTGCCACCAGGCCTCTGAATGTTACCTACTTGTTAGCAGGACAGTGCTTACTTTTGGTAGGTAGGTGCTCTTTATCAAAAGAAGTGGCAAATGACAGTTCTGACCACTGTCCCAATGTGTCACTAACCATTCCTTCGGGCTTTTCCCACTTCATAGTTGTTTATTTAAGCAGAAAACTTGACATATTGCTGTAAGATAGAATATTAAAAATGATCACCTATTTGCATATTTTTATCTGATTCAATAGGAAGAGATCAATTTCATTTATTGATGAAGTGCTTTGGTTGAAATGTTCCTTGAGTAGAATATTTGAAGTGTATAAAATATCACCATTTTATCCACTGATCCTCCACAGACCACAAGTGCAATTGTGATCAAATATGTGTTTGGTTTTGCCTACTGACAGTTTTTTTTTTTACAGATACCTCTTTTTTGGAAGTCAAGTCAGTCACTATGGCTAAACTAGTGGGCTTGGATAAAGTTGCTAGGATATTCCAAATCTTGAAATCCAATGGTGGGATTAGGGCAAGTCTGTACAAGCTTTACAGGTAAGTGCCAGCATTTTTTAGTGAGGTTTTGGGTTATTTGTTTTTGCATTAAATCCAGCAAATATGAAATTAAGTTATATTGCTATTCATGTTTTTTATGAAAGGATTGTTTTGCCTTTTTATGCAGTGTGTATATGCCTGTTATTATCAAAACATTATTTTCAGGTTTGATGACTTGAAGCTGGGAACACATGTTGGCACAGACAAGTATGGAAACAAGTACTTTGAGAACAACATGTACTTTGTAGGTATGTATCAGAACACAATTTTCTTTTTGTGTTGATATGGAAGTGAGAAGGTATCCAGATCATTGGGCAACTATAATAAACTGGAATCGTTTGCACATGCTCATTTGGGAAGCTACAAACATACAGCTGACCACCACATGAACAATTTCAGCTTATGCTGACTGGTGTGATAACTGATACTGACTGCCTATCAGGCTACTTGGCGAATACACACCTTCAAATAGGAGGTGGCGTCCGCGGCTGCCCCTCGTATCTCGATCCCCGCTGTCTCGGTGAGTGTAGGTGGCGCTGTGGTCTGCAGCCTTTACCACGCCGTCTCCAGTGACCGTATTTCTGTTCCACCGTGAATGACCGAAAGTGTCGCTGTCGTTTGTGGCCCTTCCCCCGCCATCTTGAGCGACTATGTGGTCCCACTCCGCCTGAAGTGACCTACGACGTCTCCGTCGTCTGCGCCAGGTCGTAACCGGTGGGTCGAGTACGCGCCGGCCGTCGGAACTGACTACGACGGCAGCATGGTGCCGGCAGAGTGGTTCGGCTGGCTCCACTACAAGACCGACGAGACGCCCATCCAGGTTAGTCGTGTATGACAGATGTGTGGCCGGGGACAGGTGGTGTGGTTGGGGATACTGGTGTCCTAGCGGTGTGAGGTGCAAAGCGGATCCAGATTGGTTCCTAGACCCAAATTAGTTCACAGACCCAGGAGGAGTTATGTGACCAGTTATCCGGGGACCGGGTGGTACCGGGGGTGTAGAGTTTGGGGGTTATGTCAGGTCTGAGCCCCTTTGCCATGCAGGTCAGTAACCAGGGAGAGGTATTTGGTCCGCGTGACATCCCGCTGGTGTGGAACAGACCTCGGAGAAAGCTGGTGATCGATATAAATTTGTGTTCATGACTGAAACGAATCGGTTAGATGACTCGTCCGTAATTGACCACTTCAACAAATGGCGATAGGTTTAGGCCCGCGCCCATTCTCTCATATCGATGATCGTATCGCTGTGTGCCGCTGCTACGGCTGACGAGATGCTAGACTTTTTCACCTCCTTTTCTAACGCCAACCCGCCTCTGTCTTCCCCCACAGAAGCCGCCGGTGCGGTACGCCTGGCAGCGCGACCACGAAGCGAACCCGTCCGGCACCGCAGATGCCTACTACCCCTACTCGACCACGCGACCCAAGGTGGAGGCCTGGGTGCCGCCCAAGAAGTAGTTCGCGAATCGCGGCCGGTGCACGCCGCTGTATATAGCTGGGACTGATAAAACGGGGAGGGTGGTAAAATACAGTGATGTGTATGTGAACGGCTGTTTGTGGTTTGTCGATGAGAGTTTGAGATACTATGAGTAGGTTATCTAAGGATTTGAATGAGAAATAATGTCCGGTATGTGTTTGTAGTGCGGAATTTTCGGCGGCCAAGCTGAACGATACTTCTTGATGCTTGCCGGTTTAGCATAGCCAGTAATTCGAGGCTGGGCCTTAAAGTCACTCAAAATGGCTGACTACGTGATTACCGCCGTGTGCAGGGGAAGGGCGATACCAGAGCCCTGCTAGAGCTTAGAATTAGGATCATGAGACGGCGACGTAAGGCACAGGGCGAGTAATTTTAGAACCAAACTTCCTCAGTTTATCACACTTGGACTCACTGTCTCGTATATTGTGGGCAGGCACACATCGGCGCGACCTAAAACTCGCCCCCTAACAATGTAAAAAGCGGCTGGCGGTCGGGTGGCTATCAACTCCTAGGCCCATACGCGCGACCGTTAAGGGAGGCACTGTCTCACACATACAACACCCGATAAAAGGAACGCGCACGGCGGCAGATCGTTGACTTCAACGTAACGCACCAACAACGGACGCACCAGGCCACAACAATCGAACCAGCTTCTCTCGTGAGCCACCAGCCACGCCTTTAAGTACCTACCACGTAAGAACAACACTTGAACGCGGGCCAGGCAGGCCATGCGATCCTTCCATGCGAGCGGCACTTAGAAGGCACGGACGGAGCCCCCGGAAGCCCTTGGACATCCCATCAATGAGCAGGGACACCTCGGTATTGCCATGCGATGCAGCTGGCGCCAGCAAGCAGTCGCGAATCACTGGATGGACGGCGTCAGTCCAGTGCAGAAAGCCTAAATCGTCCTGCCACCTACAGAGGCCCCGCAGCCATCCAGTCTTCATCCTGAGTCGCACAGCTTTCACTGCCGTGTTAGGCACTGGTTACAAGACACGACAGCTACACACACATACAAACTAGCGCTCATAGAGGAACAATCAAGATTTTCCACAGTAGAAAACATGACACTTTATGGACAGGCTAGCCACCATGGCAGGTGGCACTAAATCAAGTAATCGGAATGACAATCATGAAGAAAAGTTCATGAAATATAGTGTAAAACTAGACTGAGGTCAAAAACTAATCGTAGAACATGATACACAAGTCATCGAACAAAACTAAGACAGGTACTTTACAATCATCCAGCACCCAAGCAAGAAACCTCGATTTCTGATTCCTTTCATGAACCAAAGCCATCATTTCAGATCCTTCATTGCACACTCAGTTTCACACACTTCAAAAGCGCCACTCTCCTTGAAAAACACGCGGTGCAGCGCCAGTCTCGGTACCACTCCTAACACCGTCGGGACGCAGGGTTAGCACGGACAGAGTCCATTCACAGCCAGGGGGACAGGGGAGGGTGCGGCGGGCGCACCGGCCGCCTCACGACCAGCACGGTATGACGGCGCTCCCGTCTGTGGAGGGAGGGGAGGAGACGTCAGATATTGCCACATAGCGGCGGCCCGAGGGAGCAGCGTTACCGTCGAATAACGGACCGTAATCACATCACAGCCATCATGGACTGTCCCTGGCGACAGAGTGCCACCATCTATGCTTATTCAGATGTACGCTTTTTATTAACGTTCTCTTTTATTATTCGATGTTGAAGCTCTTATATACCAGAAGACATTACAAGACCAGAAATGTGGCTAAAATTTGCAAATGCCTCTCATTTTTTTTTTTTTTAACGATCTAGCACAAGGGGATTACCTTACCATGGACTGAGCCATGTCCACATCAATTATAGCAATGCGCCCAAAAATTCACACCCAATGACCAGCAGAACTCCCACCAGTCTCTTACCAAGTGCGGCGGGCGCCTCGGCGGCCGGCGGCGGCGGCGGCTGGTCGGCCGGCACCGCCTCCAGCTGATCCAGCATCTGGTGCAGCTTCAGCTCAACCACGCCGAACAGCGGCCGGTGGCGGGGCTCGCCGCGCCAGCAGGCCGTCACCAGCTCCCAGCCGAGGTCGCTGCAGTGGCGCGGCCGGGATGGACGCAGCCCTGGAGGGAGAGAAGGGATGGTGAACGGTGGTCTGTACGGGCGGCCGGAGACGGCGAGGCGACAATGACAATGACAGGAAGCACTAGCAACCACAGAAGACGGCAACGGTGAAACGGCATGTGCTGGCAGTGGCAGAGAGCGGCAGAACCGAATGGCAGTGAAAGCAGTGACATAGGACAGAAGGTAGTCTGATGGGTGGTACTAGAGCCCCACAGACAGCCGTTGAACAGCTGATACCAACACACCAGATAGATAGCTCACTCTAAAAAACGATGATTCGATGATGATTTGGTATTACATGGCGCACCAGCAGCGAGGCTATATCGCACCGTGAAAATCGAGAAGTACCTACAGTTGAACACCTCCTCGTGACGCTCGAAAGGCTTCACCTCAGCCGCGCCAGTCGCTTGATTCGGCTCAATGATTTGGCCAGGTCCGGGCGGTCAGCTCACCTCGTTTGACGCACTTCCAGAGGTCGTTCTTGTTGTCGCACTGTTCGTACACGTCGGGCATCCTGACGTCGTTGGAGAGGATGTACCAGAGCAGCACGCCGAACGCGTACACATCCACACTGTGGTCGTACTGGCCGCTGAAACGTCAACGGGAGGAAGCTCAGTGCACCAGCCCGGCAGTCTACCCAGTGGAGATCCACTGGGCTGAAGGAAAGGGCCGCTTAGATACAAGCTGCCCTTTCATGTAACAGCTGCAGGCATTGCAGTTATGCCAATGACCAGTAAGAACAAATAACAAAAAAAAAAAACGTAAAACTCAATTCGGCCAAATACATACCGGGAGTTCCTAAATAAACAGTCGTATGTAAAAGCTGTATATTATCAGCATGGAAGGCATGACAAAAACGAATCACTTTCTAACATACACAATAGTCGATGCCATTTCACGTGATACCATCTTCTTTTTGCTGTCTCTTCATTTGCGGCCACAGAGGACGTGTTCCAGATGAGCCCCCTCTCGCTCCACACACAGCTCTGCGCGTCGCCGAGCGGACTCCACCGCAGCCCGGCAGATCTCCGGCCGCACTCGGCGCACCGCGGACGACACGGCCCTCTTGAGGTCATCTGTGGTTCTGGGGTTGCTTTTGTAGACCTGTGACTTCAGGTGACCCCAGAGAAAGAAGTCAAGTGGGGTCAGATCCGGAGAGTGCGGGGGCCAGGTCCGCACCTCTCTGCGGGAGATAACCCGCGAACCGAATCGGTTCCGCAGCCATTCTCGAGTCGCAACGGCCGTGTGCGCCGAGGCTCCGTCTTGTTGGAACCATTGTTGGTCCATCAGCTGCCTGTCTCCACCCAGCCGCCTGTTCAGCGCAGTCCAGAACTTGGCTAGGACTTGCCGGTAGCGCTGAGCGTTGACGGTGACAGACTCCCCAGCGTCGTTCTCAAACCAGAAAGGTCCGATTATGCCACTGCTGCTCATTGCACACCAGGCTGTGCACTTCACACTGTGCAGAGGGGCTTCCGCGACCAAATCGGGTGGCTCCGTCGACCAGAATCGAAAATTCTGGGAGTTCACGCGGCCATCCATATGAAAATGGGCTTCGTCGCTGAACCAGATTCGGTGAAGGAACTCATTGTCCTGCTCGCAATTTCTCAAAAACCAGCCGCTGTAAAGAAGCCGTGACTGTTTGTCGACTTTCGACAGTGCTTGGTGAACGGAGACCTTATACGGGAACAGCTGAACGTCGTTTCTGGCCAAACGGTGAGCGGTGGTTTTGCTACAGCCCAGTTCCTGGCCCAGCCGTCTGAGCGACTTTTGTGGGCTCCTCTGGAGGGCTTCTCGTGCCTTTTGGGCGTTTAAAGGCGTCCTCTTGGTTCTTTTTCGGCCACATTTACCCTTTTTTACGTTCTCCACACTACCTCTTGCCAAAAACTTCTCAACTATACTTAAAATGACGGTTCTTGATGGCACTTGGGTCCTTTTTAAGTGTCGGCGTAGCTTACGTTGTGTTGCAACGATTGACTTTGTCTCAAAATAGAAATGTACTATTTTTGTTTTTATGTCTGTACTATACGGCTGCATGATAGAAAGTGATTGATTTTGGTATGAAATAAAATGGCATTGCACGTGCTATCATCACGTGCAATTTGATTGTTGTGATTTTGTTAGTTGACGCCACTAGAAGCAAAAATAATTCGACTGTTTATTTAGGAACTCCCGGTATTAATGAAAATGCTCTGAGAACCATTCTGATAGGCATTCCCAACTGAACCGTAGGGTCACGTATATAAACGCGTTCAATTGCTCCCCGTAACCCGACAGCCCAATAAGTGCGAGGCTGTCGCCGCTCGTAAACCTACCTGAAGAGCTCTGGCGCCATGTGGATGGGCGTTCCCACTACCGAGCCAGAGATCATCGCCTCCGGCTTACAGAAGCCCAGGTCGGTCAGCTTGCCTCGGTTCGCGTTATCCAGCTGCGGGGGATGGCAAAAGTTACCCTTCACTTACGGAATGAGTGCAGACATGGCTAGTTCGTACATACAAACAGATGCATGCTGAGCTTACAACAGCTGCAGGCCACTGGCCGGGACCACAGATTCACGCCAAGGTCAACAACCATATATTATATAAAGCACGACCTCGTTATAGTAGCCATATACCATACCGTCCACCCACGCCACCTAAACAACGCCTCTATTTACAGAGTTGGAGAGTTCACATTACAGCAGCGTTGGGTCAGGTCCGGTGCAGCTACGTTATAAATATCGCGCCGGCAGGCGGGCAGGGATCACAGCAGCTTACCAGGACGTTTTTCAGCTTGATGTCCCGGTGGATGAGCCCCTGCGAGTGCAGAAACCGAGCTCCCTGCGCCACGTCCAGCGCGATCTGGGAACGACGACAGAAAAAGGTGTCAGAGGGCGCGTCAGAAATACATGATATGAAAGCACAGCGTCGAACAACGCGCCGGCGTTAGATAACACAGTTATTACCACATTGCTTCGCAGGTAATATTAT